GCCGTGGCCACGAGGGGGCGCCCCGAGGGCCACCAAGACGCCAAGAACAGCAATCTCGAGACGTCGCCGCCGCGCCGACGCGGCGCGGACCTGCTGCGCGGTGGACGTTGGGCGTGGCTTAATGGGGGGGTCATCAATGAGGGGGTCAGAAACGGTCCCCTTTCGTGCCTCTTTCGGGCCCCTCCGGAGCCCCAGGGGGCTCATTTAGGTGCCGTTTGGGTACCTTTTCGGACCACCCTCGCCACCCCCCCATCTATGACCCCCCCATTATGCGACTGGACACTGCGCCTGTTCGTACGGAAAGACGGCCCTGCGAGAGGTTCGGCGCTGGCGCCGCGGCGCTTGCAGGGCGGCGACCCCTTGGAAAGGAGGCCTGCTGCCTGTCACTCCTCCTGCTCCCGTTTGCTTCCTTGCTCCTCCTACCTCCCCTCCTCGCCATCCTCCGTCCCTCCACCGGGACGGGCCGCGAGCCCGTGTGCGGACATGCACGGTCCAGCAATCGCAGAGACGGTCGCACTCGGTAGTATGAGTGGTGGCGGTGGTCGAGGAGGTGTTCTTTTGTTTGTTTTTGTTGTCCAGCGCCATTTTGGAGAAGAGGAGGGGGAGCGGACACCTCAGCACGATAACAGACTCGGCGACGCAAGGGTGCAGCCAATGAGCTACCTCAAACGCCGTGCAAAATTAAGAGTACAAACACGCAGGTGAGCTTTAGTGGAATTGGTAGTGGCTGTGATAATGGCATTAGAAGTGGTAGTAGCGTGTTGCTAGTGGCAGCGGCAGTGGAAGTGGCAGTACGGCAGTTGCATTTATAGAGGTAATGCATAATGATAGGAGCGATGGCAAAATAGGCAGCGAAAGTGGTCCGAGGATGAGGGGGGGGACCTTTGGCGGCGCGGTCACGCGTGCGCACGCATGCTGTCTCATCCTCTGGGGGGGGCAAAAAAGTACTGATGCTGCTACCCCGACCTGCCTTGGGGTGCACAACATCGAAGCGAATCTGCCCGCGGTGGCAAGGAATCCCCAGGACGAGCAGCGGTATCGGTAACACCTCCTCCTCCTCCTCCTCCTCCTCCTCCTCCTCCGCCTCCCCCTCCTCCTCCTCCTCCTCCTCCTCCTCCTCCTCCTCCTCCTCCCTCCCCCTCCTCCTCCTCCTCCTCCTCCTCCTCCTCCCTCCTCCTCCTCCTCCTCCTCCTCCTCCTCCTCCTCCTCCTCCTCCTCTCCCTCCTTCTCCCCCTACTCCTCCTCCTCCTCCTCCTCCTCCTTCTCCTTCCCTTCCTTCTCCTCCTCCTCCTCCTCATCATCATCCTCCTCCTGCCGGGACTCGCCAAGCTAGAGAGGGGGAGGAGCGGCGGCGGAAGCAGAGCTGCTCGGAGACATGGGAGGCAAGAGGCACAAGGCGGGAGGCGGGAGCAGAAGCAGGATTCGAGGACAGTCGGCACGTATCATAAGGATGCGCGATAAGGATGCAGGGGACTTGGACGCCCATTCCGAAGAGTCTCGATAAGGGCGCGAGGAGGCAAGGATGCAAGGGTTCCCTTGGGAAGGTTGCCCATCCTTACTATGCGGGTTGACTGTAGAGGGTCGATTACATAATCGATGTACCCCAGAATTGAACTTTCTCGTCGAATACCCGGAACATGTGTAGTAGGTTCGTATCTACGAACACTCTGCGTATGTTCGTTGAAGAGTCGACGTTAACATCAATTATGGGGTAAAGCAACTCTGCAGTCGATCCCCCACTCGAGGGAAAAGGGGGAGAAACACCGACCCACAATCGGCGATACATCGCCGGCGACAGGCTCCCGATAGCGAATCCGCACGGTCCTGGGCGGGATGGGCTGTCGGCTATCGGGCCTCCATCGGCGATGAATTGGCGATTGGGGGTCGATGCCCCCCCCCCCACCCTGAGCCTAATTACCCAGAACTCCGACGCTGATTTTTGTTCACAGCGCGGATCTCCGGAGGTCTGGACCCACTCCCCGGAACAGGCCTTTCGTCCCCAGTGGTTCCTTGACGGCCCCAGGGCGCGTTCCGCCGCCCCCCCCCTCCATCGTGATTGTCTGACGCGAGGGGCTCTGGGAACGCTGCCCTCTCCCCCTCCTCCTCCTCCTCCTCCTCCTCCTCCTCCTCTTCTTCTTCTTATTCTTCTTATTATTCTTATTATTATTCTTCTTCTTATTATTATTCTTATCATTCTTATTATTATTCTGTTTCTTCTTATTCTTATTATTATTATGATTACTATTATTGTCATTATTATTATGATTATGATTAGTATTGTTAGTATTCGTATTAGTATTAGTATGATTCGTATTGTTATTATGTTTTTATTCTTCTTTTAATATTATTAATATTAGTAGTATTATCACTGTCCGAGAATTATTAGTGTATTAGTTGTATTATCATTATTACTATCGTTATTCTTCCTCGTATTGTAAATCGTAGTAGTCGTAGTATTATCATTATTAATATTATTCTTATTATTATTACTATTATTATTATCCGTCTTCTTTCTCTTCTTCTTATTCTTCGTGGTATTCGCACGATTATTCTTATTATTCGTATCATTATTCTTATTATTCTTATTATTCTTCTTATTATTAGTATTATTATTATTATTATTATTCTTATTATTTTTGTTTGTTTCTGATCCTCCTCCTCCTCCTCCTCCTCCTCCTGATCCCATCCCCCCCAGTGCTGCCCCCGACGGGAGCGCGGAGGGCGCTCTGCTCTTTCTCGGCCCTGCCCCCGCGGCGCCAAGCCCGAGACGCCTTTGGCGCCGCGGCCTGCCGAGCCCGAGGCGCATGTGAAAAATCGAGGCGGCGCCTGGGAAGATGAAAGCGACGACGACGACGACGACAACGACAACAACCAGGTCGGACGGCAGGGGGGGGGGGGTCGCAAAGGGGGCTACAGCGAATCAGCCCACGCAGCTCCCCCTCCTCCTCCTCCTCCTCCTCCTCCTCCTCCTCCTCCTCCTCCTCCTCCCCCTCCTCCTCCCCCTCCTCCTCCCCCTCCTCCTCCTCCTCCTGCTCCTCCTCCTCCTCCTCCTCCTCCTCCTCCTCCTCCTCCGTCAGTGCGCCGGGGAACGGCACTCGACGGCAGGGCCGAAACAAGCCGCACGCAGCAGGGCTCCGTGAGCCCCCCGTGTCCCTATGTAGCTCCGCCCCTCTGGGGGGGGAACGTCTTCGGGGGCGGCCAAGAGGGGGGCGTCCAAGAGAAAGAGAGAGAGAGGGCCCGTAGGGCAGAAGAGTCTGCCCCAGCATGACGCCGGGCCGCGCGCAACCCCCACTTGTGCACTCAGGTGTCTTGCCAACGTTTACGCTGCCTTCCAACGTGTCGCCGGGCATGTACGTGGGGTGCCATGGGTGCCAGTCCATGGGCGTTCAAGAGGGGGGGTGCAAATCATGGCCAGCGGCATGTGCGCGGCCCAAGGGGGGGCCAGGAACGTAATGAAATAAGAAGAGGCGCCGTAAAATCCGGGGAGACATCCACCCCCCATCCCTGGTCATCACCCCCCTCCTGGCCGTTTCCGACTATGGATCCCCCCCTCTTGGGGGGGAACATCGACCCGGAGTCGGCGATGCGATGCATCGCCGATGGATCAGCGAGAGGCTCCCCGATCGCGAGGCTGCACGCCCTGGGCCATCGAGCCCCTGTCGGCGATGAGCGGGTGCTAGTAGACGGAGCAAAAGCGGCACAAACATAATCTTTCAACTAACCGCGCGGACTTCTTGGATCTGCGCTGGACCCCCCTCCCTGGCGCGCGGAGCGCGCCAGGGGCGGCGCCGAAGGCGCCGCCAGGGAGGCCCAGGCGCCGATCCAAGAAACCGCGCGGAGCGTCGAAAGGGGGGTCGAGATAGGGGGTCGATAGGTCCCCTCCTGAGCATCTCCCACCTTGACGTTGCGCCTGACTTCCGCCTGGCCCGAGACGAAGAGCCGCCGAAGAGAGAGCCCGGCCTCACTGCTCGCGCAGCGAAGGAAAACACGCAGGTGGCCCCGAGGCGCACCGAGCTCCAGTCGGGCGGGTGGTAATGGGCGGTGACCCACATGGGGGGGGTGAAGAAAAAGGCAATGAAAGGGGCCCTTTAGGGCCCCTTTGGGGCACCAGCTAACTCCAAAAGAGGCCCGAAAGGGACCCTCTGAGGCCCTTTCCTTCACCCCCCATGTGGGTCACCCCCCCTTACTCCAAATCCCTTATTAATCGTCGCCTGGGTCCGGTTTTTTACGGCGCCATTTTGGAAACTGGGGGGGTCCGGTTTATTAGGGCGCTTTCTTTGAATTGGAGCTTAGGGGGTCCGGTTTGTTAAGGCGCCCCGTCGAAGAGGGGGGTCCGGAATATTAGGTCGCATTTGGGGGGGGGGGGTCCGGGTTTTCAAGGGGGGATCGATTGATCAAGGATTTGGAGTGCCCCCCGCCCGATCCAGCGTCAGCCCACGCAGGGACTCCCGCGGGAGACGCCTCGCCAGGGACCCTCGCTGGCGCGCCCACGCTGCAAGCTTGCGGGGGAGGGAGCCCATCGCCAGGAGGAGGCAGGAGGGACCCGGGCCTTCAGAGCTGACAAATAAATACACACACCACAAATCCCAGGATTCCCCAGATCTCCCCACAGTTTCTGGGTTCTCGTCTTCCCCCCCCCCGCCCTTCCCATGTCTTCGTATCTTTTGCGGGGGATCGACGCTGCGGTACGGAGGCGTTTCGCTCCTTTCGGTCTCCGGGAGCCCTCGCCAAGCACCGGGAGCCGTCGAGAGGCGACTCTCGGGACGCAAGAGGCCCCGAGGACATGGGTCGAGACCTCTGGGGGCCCACGCTGCGAGGCCAGACGAACGTCGGGGGCCTGGTAGGCAGTGGAGGAAGAGGAGGAGGAGGCGGAGGAGGAGGAGGAGGCGGAGGCGGAGGAGGAGGAGGAGGAGGAGCAGGAGGAGGGGGGGCGGGAGACGTGCGCCCAGCCTGGGCGTCGAACGCGTGCGCGCCGCGGCCTGCTCCGCCCGGCCGGCCCATCAGTCGAAGAGGTCTGCGAAGTCTGGGGCGGCCGCGGCTGTCTTCTTGGGGGCCTCGGCGGCGGGCTTGGCCTCGGCGCTCTTCTTGGCCTCGGCCTCCTCCCTCGCCTTGGCCTCCTCCCTCTTCTTGGCCTCGGCCGCCTCCTTCGCCTTGGCCTCGGCCTGCGCCTTCTCCTCCGCCTTCTTCTTCTCCTCGGCTTTCTTCTTCTCCTCCGCCGCCTTGGCCTCGTCGGCCTTCTTCTTGGCCTCTGCCTCTGCCTTGGCCTTGGCCTCAGAATCGTCTGTCTTGGCCTCCTTCTTCTCCTCCGCCTTTGGCGCAGCAGGGAGCTCGGGGGCCTTGAACTCGGGGACCTTGATGTCCGGGGCCTTGAACTCGGGGATCTTGAAGTCGGGAGCCTTGACGTCGGGGACCTTGAAATCGGGAGCCTTGAAGTCTGGCACCTTGATGTCTGGGGCCTTGAAGCTGGGCATCGCGACGTCCTTCGGCATGGAGGGCATGGAGACGCTGGGCACGGTGGGCATGCCGTTCTGCTTCACGTAGCCCGAGAAGAGCGACACGGCGAGGCCCAGGGTGCCGAGGTAGGACAGCCCCTCGGACAGGCCGAGGAGGCCCAGGGGCCCCGCGGGGAGGCCCCTGCCGCGGGCCACGAAGCTGCCCAGCGACCAGAAGGTGAGCCCCACGCAGGTCAGGCAGGCCACGAGCTCCAGGCCGTAGGGCCCGTACGAAAAGGCCTCCGTGGGGGACAAGTAAGCCGCGACGCCTGCCGCTCGGAGCGAGAGGGTAGAAACTTGAAGCAGGAAGGCGCTGAGCGCAGGTTTGGTTTGCGCTCACCCCCTGAAGGGGACAGAAAAGGGAAAACCGCTCGACACTTGCAATAGGAAGGCGCCTAACAAAAGATTGGAATCCGCCGATCCCTTGGGGTCATCGGCGTGTGAGACTCACGACGGGCCACGAGGGCCCCAAGAGGCCCGCAAGATGGTCCAAGAGGGCCCCGAGCCGCCGATGGCTCGTTCCAAGACGCCCAATATGGCCCCCAGACGGCCCAAGAGGCCCCCGAGACGGCCCAAGAGGCCCCCAAGAGGCGTCCCGCGTCCCAAGAGGGCCCCCAGAAGCAAACATCGTCCAGTTCCCGCAAGAAAGCGTATGATTTTAGCGGATTCGCCTCTTGGGCTCTCACAGCGTCCAAGACGGCCCAAGAGGCCTCCAAGATCGCCCCAAGACGGCCCAGGAAGCCCCCAAGAAGGCTCCAAGACGGCCCAAGAGGGCCCCAAGACTGCCCAAGAGGCCCCAAAGACGGCTCCAGCCAGACTAAGGACCCGAACGGAAATTTCGAGCCCTCGGCCCCAAGAAGCCTCCAGGAGGCCCCAAGAGGCCCACCAGAGGCCCAGAAGAGGCCCCCAAACGGCCCCTAAAAGGCATCAAAAGTGCTGCCAGGAGGTAAGAGCGAGACCTACCAGGAGCCCCCCAAGAGGTCGGCGGTGCGGCGCACGCCCAAGTACCTTGGACTCCAGAAAGTCCTGCTGTAAGCGACTGCGCCGCAGCTCCCCAGGCCTCTCCTGGGGCGCATTCTGATCAGGACTTCGAGACGGATCCACGAGACACCTGTAGCGTTATCGGCCTCCAAGGGCCTCGCCCTTGGTGAGGACGGCGAAGGACTTGTACAGCGCGAAGAGCACATGCGGGGCCAGCCCCACCCCGACGACGATCGCCGAGAAGCCGCTCACCTCCACGGAGTCGGCCTCGTCCTCGGGGGGCGTCCAAGAGGGGGGCGTCCACCTCCTCTTCCTCCTCCTCCTCCTCCTCCTCCTCCTCCTCCTCCTCCTCCTCCTCCTCCGCCTCCTCCTCCTCCTCCCCTCCTCCCTCCTCCCTCCTCCCCCTCCCTCCCCCTCCTCCCCCCTCCCTCCCCCTCCTCCTCCCCTTCCTCCTCCACCTCCTCCTCCTCCTCCTCCTCCTCCTCCTCCTCCTCCTCCTCCTCCTCCTCCTCTCCGTCCTCGTCCTCGTCCTCCATCTCCTCCATCTCCTCCATCTCCTCCATCTCCTCCATCCTCCGCCTCCGCCTCCGCCTCCGCCTCCGCCTCCTCCTCCTCCTCCTCCTCCTCCTCCTCCTCCTCCGCCGCCTCCGCCTCCCCTCCGCCTCCGCCTCCGCCTCCGCCTCCGCCTCCGCCTCCGCCTCCGCCTCCGCCTCCGCTCCGCCTCCGCCTCCGCCTCCGCCTCCGCCTCCGCGCCTCCGCCTCCTCCGCCGCCTCCGCCTCCGCCTCCCTCCGCCTCCGCCTCCGCCTCCGCCTCCCTCCATCCTCCTCCTCCTCCTCCTCCTCCTCCTCCTCCTCCTCCTCCTCCTCCTCCGCCTCCGCCTCCGCCTCCGCCTCCGCCTCCGCCTCCCCTCCTCCTCCTCCTCCTCCGCCTCCTCTTCCTCCTCCTCCTCCTCCTCCTCTCCTCCTCCTCTCCTCCTCCTCCTCCTCCTCCTCCTCCTCCTCCTCCTCCTCCTCCTACTCCTCCTCCTCCTCCTCCTCCTCCTCCTCCTCCTCCTCCTCCTCCTCCTCCTCCTCCCTCGGGGGGGGTCGCAAATCATGGCCTGATGGCTCGTGCGCGGCCCAGGGGAGAAAGAGGGGAAGGAGGAGGAGGAGGAGGAGAGGAGGAGGAGGAGGAGGAGGAGAAGGAGAAGGAGCAGGAGGAGGAGCAGGAGCAGAAGCAGGAGCAGGAGCAGGAGCAGGAGGAGGGGCCAGGTGACGTGTTGAAACAAGAGGAGGGGGGCCATGCAGTCCAGCGAGCCATCATGGCCCCAGCCGTGATGCCCACCCCCCCAGCCATGTCACCCCCCCTCTTTTCTGTGGCAGCTCGTGGCCCGCCCGTGCAGTCGACGCAGGCCGACGCCAATCGACGCTCAAACGACGCCAGTCGACGCCAGAGCTGCGCTCTCCCATCAGCGACCAGGCGCTAGCGCAAGCTAAAGCACTCTACAGACGGATATCCGAAGACACGCGAGGCTCCCACGATTTGCTGCCGACCCACCGTGCCGCCCCAGACCCTCCGTGGCGGAGCCCCCGCCCGGGCGAGACCGGACCGCATGTTTCACTCGGACCGGATCTGACTGGGCTAGATCTCATCTTCGAGCTGGATCAAGGAGGCCTCCTAGATGGGGTCGGAGTAGATGGGATCGGAGGATCGCGCCGCATCGCCGGTGCATCGGCGATGCATCAGCGATGCATCCTCGACGTCGGCGACGCATCGGCGACATCGACGTGAAGCAAATCACATGGAGCCGCATCGGCGGTGCATCGGCGACGCGGCGCGATCCTCCGATCCCATCTACTCCAGGCCTAGTGCAACGGGACCGAATCATGGAAATGGCAACTTCTGAAACTGGACCAGACCGGCCCCGGACCAGATCCAGCCTGCCCTTGGCCACCCGCTGCATCGTTGCCACTGCAGCGCGTGGCTGCACATGACTTACACGAGCTGCTGCAGGTTTGCAGGTACAGTCAACCCGTATCATGAGGATGCGCGGGAAGGATGCAAGGGCCTTGGAGGGCCAAATTGACGCTTTCGGCCAGTGAAAGCCGGTAAGGATGGGCCAAAAGGGCACGGATGCAAGGGTACCCTTGGCAAGGTTGCCCACCCTTGCTATGCGGGTTGACTGCATGCATGAAGGCATCCTTGCGAGAACGTGCTTGGAAGAAGAAAACAAGCCATAAACAGAAACTTTTGGCGCTCCGCGCGGATTTCTTGCATCCGCGCCAGACCCCCTCCCTGGCGCGCGGAGCGCGCATGGGGCGGCGCCGGAGGCGCCGCCGAGGGGGCCCAGGCACGGATGCAAGAAATCCGCGCGGAGCGCCAAAAGTTTCTGTCTATGGCGTGTTTTCCCCTTCGAGCGCTGCGAGCCAGGCGGAAAAATCGCGCGAAGGAGGAGGCGGAGGAGGAGGAGGAGGAGGAGGACGAGGAGGAGGAGGACGAGGGAGGAGAGAGGGGGAGGAGGAGGAGAGGAGGAGGAGGAGGAGGGAGAGGGAGGAGACGAGGGAGGAGGAGGAGGAGGAGGAGGAGGAGGAGCGGAGGAGAGGGAGGAGGAGGAGGAGGACGAGGGAGGCGAGAGGAGGAGGAGGAGGAGGAGGAGGAGGACGAGGGAAAAGGAGGAGGGAGGAGGCGGAGGAGGAGGAGCAGTCACAGCTTCAGAGAGCTCGTTGGCACCACCGCTCCTCCGTGGCGGCGCCCCCGCCCCTGGCGGCCACGGCGACCGCCGCCGCCCGGCCGCCCCTCGGGCCCCCGTGGGCGCGGGCGTGGCGGCCGGGCGCCGCCGCGGCCACGCCCCTCGCGGGGGCCGGGCCGGCGAAGGCGACGAGCGCGCCGGCCTGGAAGATGGGAGGCATTGGATAAGGAAACGGCCTGGCGACGAGCGCGCCGGCCTGGAAGATGGCCTGGCGACGAGCGCGCCGGCCTGGAAGTACTAGTACTGTGGTGATGGCATTTTTTTGTTTTTATCCTATCACCCTGGGGCTTATCATGCACAGACAAATTCAGACGCCGTCTTACGGCCCCGCATCACCGCCGCCCTCCTCAGATAAGGACTAGATATCCTCTTCGGAGGCGCGCGTCCAACCCGAGCGGATAGTATACCCATCTTGTAGTGCATCGTTTCCCGATCGGTGTGGCCAGAAAACGCACGCCAGGGCGCATGTACTAGAAGATTTCTCGGTGCGCGCGCCGCCCCTGGGGGGGCGACGCACATATAGTACTAGTATGTTGGAGAGACGCCAGTCTGTAAGACGAAGCTGGGACGAGGATAAAATCGAGAATCTCTGAGTCTCGGCGGCTCTGGAGGGTGTGTCGGGCGCCGCGGCCCTCTCAGAGCGTTCCGGAAGGCTCTGGAACGGGCTTTTCCTCGTCCTGGCCCCGTCCGAGCCTGGAAAGAGCAGAGCAAAGAGCCGTGTCGACGGCACGCCGTCGTGGGGAGCCGATCAGCGTGCTATACGACAGCGGCACCCATTCACCATACGGCACATTCGCGTCGTGCCGACTTCGGCGTTGGTTTCTGAAACCGCGGGGATCGTTCAGCCTTGAACGATCGGCCGTTTCCGAAACGTCAGATCGTTCGGCATCGATCGACTATGGGTCGCCGGCGGCGTTCAACGTTGAACATCGGCGGCGGGGTCGCCGCCGGTCGACACGACGCGGTACAGTGCATGGTTGTTCGGCCCAGGGAGCCGAGAAACTGCGGACCGTACCGCTCCTGGGTCGAGGATCGACGACGCCTCGGTAGACGCCAACGCGGTGCGGTGCACACAGATTGCCCGCAGAGGTTACTGTTGAGACCACCCGCGCCCATCCTGAAGTCCAAAGTGTCGGGTTGGCGGGATGTAAGGGTTCCAGTGTGCCACGTCGGTGTTCGGGGACGTCCCCCCCGCATTGGGGGGACAAAAGGTGGGGCCCTCGGGTTGGGAGTGGGGGTGGCTTGGTCGACAGCGCGTTGAAGAAGCATCGTGCAGGGCTCAAGCTAAACAACGCTTCTCGTTTTCGTTATTTTTTCGTATTCGTTCGTTATGTGTTCGTTCTACCTTTGCTGTGGAACATTATCACAACGAAACCGGTCCACGAAATCGCCAAAACACAGCTTCGGTCGAGCTATGGCACCATGTCCTGCGACAACACACGAGGGAGTAGCACGCTGACGGGCTCCAGGCGGCGCCGTGTCATTGATCCTCCTGTCTCTCGGTGGCAGCTCATGGGAGCCTCCCATACCCTATTGTCGGCTCTGGCGAACCGACGCTAATCGACGCTAGTTGACGCTTCAACGCTAAATCGACACTCATCGATGCTAGCCGACGCTACATCGGCGCTATCGGATCGACTCCCGGACGCGAATCGACGCTAGCCGACGCTACATCGGCGCTATCTCATTGACTCCCAGACGCGAACCGACGCGAATCGACGCGAAAGTCGGAATTGCAAAGGGTATGCCAGGCTGCCCTGATTGGCTACAGCAGGGGCCCGACCACCAGAAACCTTCCAAAAGAAACCCAATCCTGAAACCCCAGGACGTCCATCGACTTTTGGTGTGGGAACGTCGCGCTCTCAATCGCAGAAACCATCGGAACCCAAGAAACCCAGGGCACCCTGGAGGCGAGCAGGGTGTTTCCTGGCATAGGTCTCCACCGTATCTCCATTGACGCCAGATCGTTCAACGACGAGCTGATCCTGGGCCACGGGCGGCGTTCAACCTGAAACGCACGCGCTGGGGTCGCCGCCGGTCGACACGACGCGAACCTGCAGCATCGCACTTTCTTTAGGTCGGGCATGTCCCCCTACAGGCGGATTTTGGACGAAAAGAAAAACATGAAAAAACATGTGTTTAAAAGATACTCCAAAATAGTCGAAAATCGTCCCCATACTACTTTTGGGCTACGTATGAAAATATTCCTCCTGTAGAGGGACACGCCCGACTTAACCGTACCGCACTTCCTCCCTCCCGACCGCCAGCGCCGCCGCCGCGGCGAGCGCGAGCAGCGGCAGGACGATCCTCCGGGGGCGGCGGGCCATCCCGAGCGCGTCCTCTCCGAGCCGGCACCTCGTCAGGGGGATCGCTCGGGCCAAAGGGGCTGCGGGCACGCCGCGAACGGGGGGGGAAGGAGGAGGAGGAGGAGGAGGAGGAGGAGGAGGAGGAGGACGAGGACGAGGAGGAGGAGGGGGAGGAGGGGGAGGAGGAGGGGGAAGAGGAGGAGGACGAGGAGGAGGAGGAGGAGGAAAAGTGAGGGAGTGAGGGAGGGAGGGAGGGAAGAAGGGCGCTCGCACGATGGTGGAGTGCTGGCGCGCTGGTTGGCTGCCTGGCGGGGCTTCTTTAGCTCACACGCTGTCCACCCCTTCTCTTGCCCCGATCAGGGGGACCGTTGGCAAGCGGACCCCCTCGATGCAACACTGCTGCACACTCAGAAAGGAAGAGAGAAGCAGAGGGCAAGAGGACAGCACATGCAGGGGGCCAGCAGTGTTTTCCAGGGCCCACCCTCCCCCTCGTAGCAAGCGCCCCTTGAAAACCGCCCTCCTGATTTTGCAACCCAGGCCCCCCTTTTTCGGCTGAAGACGGCCACGGGACGACCCAGGAGTAGCCGAAGGCGGCCACAAGACGCCTCGTCTAAAGACGGCCCAACGAGCCAACAAAGGCTCACAGAGGTCCTCAAGACGCCACCCCCAGTGGCCCCAAGTGGCCCCAAGAAGCCTCCAAGGGACACCCCCAAAAGACCTACAACGGAGCCCTGAGAGACGAACGAAATTGAAAATATTACGGAAGACCTAGAGTTCTGCGTCCGTTACTTACGACGGCCACGGGAAACGCTCAGAGAGCCACACCCAAGCCCCCAAGGCGGCCCAAGAGAGCCTCCTGAGAGCCCCAGGACTTGCCCAGGATGGCTCGAGCATTCTCCGGGACGACGCAAACCCAGCCTAAGTGGCTCTGAGGCGACTCAAGGTCCGCCCAGAGGTTCCATATCTGATTCCACGTTCCACCAAGGCTCTTCGGGAGAGCTCAGCAGAACCAGCGCGTCCGACACGGCCCCCGGGACTCCCGCCTGACGGCTCCCTGGAAGGCTCCAAGAGAAGGGCATCAAGATGGCCCCAAGAGGACACTAACAGGCTCCGAAGAACCCCCAAAAAACATCCAGGATCCAGGATGGTGAGGGGAGGGAAACGGGGCTGCGAAAGATGGGGGATGAGAACGGGGCTGCAGACAACACCGCGAAGATGGCGCGATAATGGCGATGCTGCTGAAGGGTAAGAGAAGGGGAGTGATGAAAACCAGTCCGCCCAACCTGTCAGCGTGCGCCAGAGGGTCCCATCCCATTGTGGAATCTTTCCACATTTCGGTCGACACCATCCATGCGTGAGACGCCTCCCGTAGAGGGCCCCTTTTCCGCATCCGAGCTCCCCTGGGCTGGCACGCAGGCCGTGAATGAAGGAACGCCCGTTCCCTGTGATCCCTTCCCCGTAAGGGATCCCGGGGAGGGTGGGGTGGGGTGCGGGGGATGCGGGGGACTCCCTCGACATCCCTTCGCCTGCTAGCCCCGAGATTGCATGTAGCGTGAGGCGGACTCCCAACATCGATCCTGGGCCCCTCGAGGCTGGACCAAGAGACCGAAATCATGCTGTCTGCTGGCGAGTTGACGTCCTCACTTCGTCTGCCTTAACTAGCGTCCAAAGGACTGCCCGACAGGCTCCCAGGATCGCCCCCGAGCTCCCAAGAGGGGCAGCCAAGGGCCCCCGAGGGGGCCCAGAGAAAGGATCGCGAGATGGAGTTCCAGGATGGGCCCCAGGCCAGGAGGGAGGAGGGAGGAGGGAGGACGGATGAGGAGGAAAAAGAAGAGCAGGAGGAGGAGCAGAAGGAGGAGAAGGAGAAGGAGGAGGAGGAGGAAAGAGGAGGAGGAGGAGGAGGAGGAGGAGGAGGAGGAGGAAGGGCGAGGGAGAATGAGGAAGCAGGGAGGGAGGAGGGAGGAGGGAGGAGGGAGGAAAGAGGAGGGAGGAGGGAGGGGGGCTCCCGCCCAGGATGGCCCCCGTAAGATCGCGAGCACGCTCCCCCAAGACGCCCCCGAGAGACCCCGCCGAGGCCGCCGAGAGGCCCCCAGCCTCAAGAGGCTCCCAAGAGGCCTCCAGCTTCTTGAACTCAAGAACCAGGTTGGGGATCCCCCCCAAAAAAAAATCAACAACAAACAACACAACATACAAAACAAAAACAACATCACACAGTTTTTCGTATTCAAAAACCAAAGGCCTCTGGCCCGCTCCCGCAGCACGGTGGCGGGATGGGCCGAAGTTGAGAGGCCACCGCCACGTGCTCCCGTGCCCCCTCTACGCCTCTTGCGCCCAAGCCTTTCTCTGTTCGTGGGTCGGCAGAACGGGCCGTAGGGCCTCTGCGGCAAAGGATAACGGCGAGGAGCAAGCACGAGACACAGCAGACGAGGAGCAAGCCAAGCACGATGTCTGGGGGGGGGCAGGACAACGCCACTGAGAACTAAGAGGATGCCGAGAGGGCATGAGGAAGGGCTGACTGAGGAAGACGACGACAAGGAGCACAATGCAGAGAACGAGTACGTACAATGAGGAGAGAGGATACGAGCACGTAGGATGACGATAATAGTAATGCGAATGCACCAAATGAGTAATGAACTGAGGAAAGGTGGTACACGCATCGAAGACGATACGATGGAAAGAGACGACGATGCGAACAAATACGGCCACGTCGCTCGCACCAGGCACGCGTGCGCGGCTGCAGCTCGGAAGCCTCTCACCAAAGAGACTCAAAACGCAGATGCCCGAGGAGGAAGGAGGAGGGACGAGGAGGGAGGAGGGGAGGGAGAGGGTGGAGGAGGGGGCAGGAGGGGAAGCAAAGGAATCTTCATTGAGGGCGGAGCTATGAGGGAGGAGCAGCAAGTCAGCAGGCGGTGAGGGAGGATGGACATATGCAGGGATAAGAGGAGGAGAAGGAGCAGGCAGGGGAGAGAACGGAGGAGCAGGCAGGGCAGGGGTAGGATCGTGGATTAAAGTCAGCGCGGAGCGTGGAAGCACTGAGGGCCGAGGCACGAGTGACGGGGGAGTAAACTCCGGAGGAGAATGCCATAGATCAGGGCGGCGGCGGGCGTCGTCGTGGTCGTGGTCGTTGTCGTGGTCGTGGTCGTGGACGTGGTCGTGGTCGTGGTCGTGGTCGTGGTCGTCGTCACCGTCCGTCGTCGTCGTCGTCGTCGTCGTCGTCGTCGTCGTCGTCGTCGTCGTCGTCGTCGTCGTCGTCGTCGTCGTCGTCGTCGTCGTCGTCGTCGTCTTCGTCGTGGTTTTCGTCGTCGTCGTCGTGGTCGTGGTCGTGGCCGTGGTGGTCGTCGCCGAGCACGAGAAGCGAGGCCGCGGAGCACAAATGGGCCCACGACACGGCGCGCGGCCTCTGCGTGAGCGCGGTCATGATGTCCCGTTGCCTGCTGCGCGGTCTCCCGGCGGGAGCGAGGGGAGGAGGGGGGCGGTGGGGAGGATGACTGGACTCCACGGGGGGGGGGCCAAGGATTCCTGGGCCCTGGACTCCAGGGGGCCCGGGACTCCTGGGAGACGAAGACAAGGAGAAGGATGGAGAGGACAGGGAGAAGAGGAGAAGTAATGGGCGTAGCAGGAGGGCGAACAGCGGGGGTTGAGGGGCGGAGTAGGATGGGGAGCAGGAGGCTGGAAAGGAGGACGACGACGATGAAGATGAGAAAGTGGAGGGCGATCATGAGGAGAACCTGTGATAAGGGGGAGGGGGCAGGATGACAGGTAGGACGTCGAGAAAGAAGAGGCAAAAGAGCAGGAGGAGGAGGAGCAGGAGAAGGGGGAGGCGGATGATAATGAGCATGAGGATGAGCCGGAGAAGGCCCATCAACATGATAGCGCGGAGCAGCAGAAGGATCGGGAACAGGAGCAGGACAAGGACCAACGGCAGAAGAGCTCCTAGCGAGGCGGAGGCCACTGGTGCGCAGGACTTCGCCAGCGCACAGCACCAAGGTGGGCAGCGCGGCACACTGCCTGCAGGTCTCGCTGGCGAAGGGGGAGAGCGGCAGGTAGAAGGACCCTTGTCGTGAGGGACATGGGGAGAGCGGACATCTCAGCGATTGCATCCACAGCGGCGAAGAACATATGCTCTGTGACACAGACGAGGGGCTGCAGGCAGAATGCTTTGATGCGGCCCATCGTAGACGTCCTCGAAGCGACGGCAAAGTCTGGCCTGGACGACCACATGCTTGGCCACCTCCAATCATGCGGATGACCAGGCGCCAAAACTTTCACGCTGCTGCCCACGGCGCTGAAGCACTGGACGGCGACCGACATCTGCCTGCCAGCTGTCCTTGCGAAGGCGCCTCCAGATGGAGGGGCCGCGGCTGCTGAAGGGCCACGCTGTCAAGACACATCCCCCGATGGAGGGGTTTGCGGAGCGTTGCATGAGCCCGACCAGCACCACGCCGTCGCTCGCGAAACGGTGGCTGCCCGCATGCGGCGGCACGACCTGTTCCGCGACTCGATCGCGCGCTGATGCGGGCGCAGGTGCCGCAGTGGACGTGGGCGGCATCGCGACCCGACGAAGACAGAATGGAAT